TTCTTGGTTTTTTGCGTTAGCAACGGTGACAAGGGGGTCGTATTTATGACTTTCGGAAGAGGTTGTGATGAAGGAAAATGGGAGGGTTGTGTTCTAGTGAAGAGAGGAGAGAGGGTTCTGACTGTTTCTTTGACGAATTTGCCTAACCTTCACAAAAGGCATGAAGTAGAAAAATCGGCGTTTTTGCCATTTCTCTCAACATCTCCACCCATCCCCTTTCTTGAGGAAGGGAGTGGAAATTTTGAAATCGCCCAACCTCACAGTTGACCCTGACAGAGGTCCTGGCGACTTACCGATCGTCAGGATTCCATGCGTGCATTTCTTGTGTTGGTCGATCGATCAGATGCTGTGAACTGAGAATGTAATCGAATTTGGCCGGTCGAAGCATGTCATCCAGGGCACATGGCTGCAAATCATACATACACATCAGCTCACCAAACACCCCCGTCAAACAAGCCCCTCAGTGGTGGCCAAGTGCAGCTGTGCCTGGCTTTCTGTTTTGCACTTCATTACAGGCCATTTAGCATTCCGAGAAGCATAGAATGATTCACCATTGAATTCCAACGATGACTGCACTTCATTACACATGAGGGACAAGCTGGCACGTCCTTTTGAAAAACCTCTTCGAGAGCGCACTTGCATTACGCCCCAACGAGCCTCTTCATGACGATGATTTATTAGCCGTTTTCACTGAATGTTTCAGAATCTATGTTTGGACCTCCTACCTCTAGGGGTAGAGAGCAAAGGGTCGATCAAGTTTACAACCCGTATTCCAGCCTAATCTAATAGCCTAGATACTAATCGGAATTGAGCGTGACGTCATTTTCAACCCATCTACGACAGTCGTTGTGTTTGTTTTCTATTCTACCCATCAATGATCATTATCTCTTCAATAAGTTGATTATTGGTGAAGTCTTCGTTACCAGTTATTTGCTTACTGGTATTTCGGGTTGTAAACGAATATGGGGAATTTTGTAACCTAAAAAATGTAGGGCTCATGCCGTTAGGGGAAGCTTCAAATGAGTGAGCCAATTACAGTAGTTAGGAAGATTTAGGAAGAAGAAGGGATTCTAGGGGAGGATGTGAGCAAGTTGTGTCCTCCCAGACTTTTCTAAATCCTCCTGAGCTTACTCCTAGTACCACCTACCGCCGGCCCTGTTTTGGATGTCCCCCTCCACAAGGCCATGAGCGCTGAAATGTCAAATAAAAAGGTTCCCCTCCGCGTAAAAGCGCGACCCACTACTGGGTCACGTTGCAGTCAGTGGGATAAAATGGTAAGCATAGCAAACTGGTGTATCATTTGAGAAACCAGCAAGTTTGCACTGATTGTGAGTGGGCATTTTAATTGGAAAGCGCTCATAGCTCTACGACGGTAATCTGACCCCAATGCGTTGGATACGTATTGATTGGCCACTCATGTCCCGAAGAAGGAACTATTTCTTCAGAAGTGAGGGTGGAAAGTTTGGATCAGGACGAAGAAGTTTCAAAAATGTGGACATGTCGCCCAGATCGCAATTTAACTTCCCAAGGCCATGAAGATCAATATCGACCTTCGCTAAATGAAAGTACAAGAAAATGGAGGTGCACATTAGGACTAAGACACCCTACCTATGAGTTCCTTGCAATCTCTAGAAAAGGGACGACTCCTAAGTCGGAAGTCCATGGGGAAGCAGAAAAATTGATGCCTAATGATCCCTTAGAATATTTGACTGGAGTGCGGACCCCTTGATGTTATGAAAAGAGCCCAAGGAAAACATGCCATCGGTGATCAAATTTCCACACCCTTGAGCGCCGTTCTCTCGTTTGCCTCATGAAAAAACAAGCTACGACCGCCATAAATAAGGATTTGCTCTCGTGATCAAACCCTCAATGTAGAGGGAGGAACGAAATACTCGGAGCGAAAACAACAATAATGTCTATTCGCAATCACCTGAATCACCATTTGGGTGGACATTATAGGACAATATTAAGAATTAATAGCATTCCATGAACATGCCAATATTAGATTAAAACCTAAAATCCTCTCAAAAACCACTTCGTTACTCAGAACAGGAACAAATCTTGATGATAATCGTGTGGAGAATAGGGACAGAGAACAATGCAGGGACTCCCTGATAGCCTTCAGATCAAAAATATCTACAGCTGAAAACATTTCTATTTCATTCGCTCCTTTCCGAGTAGTTGAGATTCCCATTGGGAGAGTCAAGACGTTCCCTCTGAACTTAAGCTATTGGAGCGAATTGGGTATACATCATTGGGCGGTAGCTTTTACAGTAAGACCAAATTTTAATCGATCGATGGAAGCGATGGTCAATTGATAGAATATATATCTATAAGCTTTGGAAAAATCGCAAATCTTACAACCTCCTCGTGGGTCTAATGTTAAACTATAACCAGAAATAAACTCAATTCAACTACCATCTATCTAATCCCTCTTAATTAATACTGAGACACTTAACATAAAGACGTTGTCGTCTAGGTTTTTCGCGATCGTTGAAGCCTATGGTTACGCTTGAGTTCAGCTTATGCTTACACAATGGCTGTATATTGAGCCTATGATTGTGCTAGGCTTAGGCTAGCAGCCTAGGCTTCGAGCAGATAAATGGTGTCTTAGTTCCAGATGACCTAAGTTGAGGAAGAGGGCTGGAACGCACCCCCTCAAATAAATACCCAAAGACAAAGGTGTTAGCAAAGGAAACGGAGATCGATTCTAGAACAGTTCAATCAAGCAGATAGGCAATGCCCTATGCGACACCTGAAAAGACAGCCAATGAGGTCACGCACCACCTAAGACACGGCAATGTCAACGGAAAACCTCTGATTAAGACTTATTGGAGTTGAGAAGATGTGAGTAATGGTCTGATCTCTACGAAATCCTGTCAACTATCAAAGTTAGCAGACGAGCCTACAATATCTTCGGAACGGAATTCGGAAAACGAAACTGTGTATGAGGATTAGATCTTTCATGATAAAGCCGTTGGAAGAAGAAATCGAAAGAATTTTCGTTGAAGAGGGTAAAATTAAAACCATATTTCGTAACGATCAGACATAACCATTAATAATTTCAAACATGCCCATTGGCAGTTCAAAAAGCGTAATATAATCAGAATTTTTCAAATATTCACTTCAAAATTCTCCACCTAATCTGGAGATTTGTCATAATTAGGCTCCCCACGCTTATATAAGGAACAAACATATCAATAAACAAAACTAAATACCAACCAACTTGGCCGATCAAAATTTCCTACCTCTGCTATTGGGCTAGCAGTGAATGTTTCTGGTCTCCAATGAAGTGAAAAACAATTTTTTCCCCGAAAAAAAACCAAAAGCATCAAGAACTCGAGTGCACAACTGGTACTTACCGCAGCATGTGGATGAGCTGGTGATAGCGTTCGTTGTGAGCCGCCACGTCCGTGCAATTTGTAATGGGCCGACGATCGGCCGCGATCATCTGGAGCCGGCATTCCTGAACCAGCGACACCAGATGTCGATGCTCCACGTGAAGGGCACGTTTCACCAACAGGCGATACTAAAACTATAACGATATAGTACTGAGACAATTATCTGGCCAGCTGTTCAGCTTTGCATTATCTTTCAAAGGGAATACTGTAGCTGAGGCGATTCCAGTGAATTCGGTATGATTCTAGTGTACGGTTCGGTGCTCATGGGCCTTAGGGGGACATTCAAACCAGGGCATTTAAAAACCACCGGTAGGACACTAGGGCTAAGCCCAAGCGAGAGAAGAGATGCCAGGACGAACCAGAGTTGCTCACGTCCTTCCCCAGAATCTGTTCCTCTCCCTAACAAGGGAGGTCTTTCAGGGCAAGCCACGCTTTTTCAAAACGGTTTCTTGCATAGGGCATGTAGGGAACACAAAACCATGTTTCATTTTCGCTGAACGGTTATAGCAGTACCAAAAAAGAAGCATAAGGTACTGTTAAGGGTTCGATCCCCCGTGGCGACTAAATTTTGCATTTGGGTTGGCGCCTACGGTTTGGTGCCAAATCGCGCTAAATATCAAAATCAGATGTCAAATTCATCGTCAGGACCATTTTGAAGCCAACAAGTGGCCGCCAACCTTGATTGCAAAATTTAGTCGCCGCGGGGGATTGAACCATCAAGAGTATTATTCACCACTTTTTGGTACTACTAAAACCGTTCAGCGAAAACGAAACATGGTTTTGTGTTCCATACATGCGTCCCTACAACATGTAAACCGTTTTCCAAAAAGCGCACCTTGCCCTGAAAGACCTCCCTTGTAAGGCTCATGCCAGCCGAGTACTGTAAGTCCCCCGTGATGTAATGTGAAACTGTAATGTTCCCTAGGACGAGCGCCAACGGCTCTGTCACAGAAAAACAGTTAGCCCTTGCAAAAAGGGGTGGGTATCAATTGAAGGAGAGAATCGTAGGTGGAGAACAATGCGTGCCAAAACTGGTTTCAAGGCAACTTCATGCAAAAATAATAGTACACAAGACAAAGGAACTTGGACGAGAACTGCTTTGTAATGATCTTGAAACAAAGGGAGAATTCACTTTGAAAAACTGAAACGAATCGCGTTTTTAGGGCGCCAATGATAGCACCAGAGTGCACTTGAACACTACTATCGAAAGAACTTTTATGGTTCAACAAGTAGAGATGGTCTTCAGGACTTACAAAACAAAAAGTACTGTACAAAAGTCTCAGAGAACTGAAGAGTCAGGCGATACTGATCAGTACAACTGGGTAGTACAGTCACATTCGTTGACCCTAAGCGCTCATATCAGACCGAATGAATGAATATGTATGTCAATTGTATAATTGCGCGTCTATATTGATCTGGCCGATGGCAAATAAAGGTGGAATCAGAGGTGACGGGCGATGCGGGCGAGTTCTGGTGAGTGCACGACGTCAAAACGAACGTAATCGTTCTGACTATCAGATGACACATACGCAGCACACCATGTAACCCTACCCGTACACACCAATTCCATCTATGTGCCGATAGGTCAAGAATATGAAAATGCCAGTATCTGTAAACAAACTGGGATAGCTGTTGACTTCAGCTGAGATACGGTAAACACCATGGAATATGAGAAGCTTGCAGTAGTGGAAGCACGAAGGATTAAGCATTCAGCGTTGGTTTTGGAATGCCACGCATTCCAGTTCCATTGAGAATCGTAAAAAACCATTGAAATGAGATTGCCTAGATGGCAAACACTGCTCACGACCATATCAGATGCCCGAGCCGTCGCTTTATCCTCCCATCAATGTGTGGTACAATTAACAACGTGAAGGATGGAAGCTTGGTTCGCCAGGTAGCGCGGCCCAGGATTGATCCCGGAGTGCGCGCTTTGTCAGCAGCGCCACTTGCCACTGCACCACTTCGCCCCTTCTCCAAGTGAGTTAACAAAATATCGCTAATTAGGATTAGGATGTTACAGGAACTGCTTGAATCTTTCTATTCCTAGAGGACCTTTACAGGCTACCGCCTGAACTTAGTACTGACTATAGGCTGATTCAGTAAAGATTCCAAAGCGCCAAATCAGACTCTCCACTCCCTCCCCAATCTCTGCACTTCCCCTTCTGAACGGCTGTCGAATGAGTTGAGTCTGATATGAGTTACGGGGTGGGGGAGGGGAGGAGAGGAAGGATAAAATGTGTAATGGAACGGTCCTCTAATTGATCACCTCATGATGAGTTTTCAAATTTCCACCATAATTGTTGGGAAACCCCTTAAAAACGACCCCCCTTTCGCCGAAACTTCCAAAAACACAACCCCTTTTTCAACTTTTTGATCCTCATCAATCTTAAATACACCTCCTCCACCGAAAAAAAACTCGAACGACCCCACCCCTATGAGAATTACGCAACGCATGTTTGACGTTGACACTGCTCAATGCAGAGCTCTGGCGTCCAATCCACCACTAATTTCAATGACAACCTGCCTGAAGAAGTCTGCTGGCGTGGCGTCATAAAGACATAATGTTCTTTTAGGCATCTCATTTCTCATTTATCCGCAAACAGTTGTCACTTTTCTAAGAAAAGACGCGTGAGACAGAACAAATTCTTGTTAGATTTTAAAGTGCTGCAAACTTGTAATTTAGTACTATTCAACCATGAAGTATGCTGGAAGTAGCTAATTAACTATGAACTCTGTAGCAAATCATGAGCTTGAATACTCTATACAAAGATAAGCTTGGATGCTAACAGAGTTAACATTTTACTGAGAACCAGTTAATATGAAGATAGAATAAGGCTAATTATCATGGTAAAATTTATATTGAAATAGCTTATAATTTTAGAATCTTCCATTTCAGCGTTTCACTGTATGTCAGCCTTGAGCTGTGCTAATTGCAAAGTAACTTCATTCACTCAAAAAAGCAGTAAAACGAATATGAGTAAAAGATAGACATCCGGTCAATAGAACCTTCGTCATAGCATTTACAAGAAAAAAAAATTTTTGTGTAAACAGCCAGTTCCTAGAAGTGAAAAAAAGAGTATTCCTTGCTGGTGGTTATCCTCGGTTACCTGCTCACGAGTTCGATAAACCTAAGTGCACCATCAGTAAAAGTACATACACAAGTGAAACCTAGGTAACTCAGGGGAACACACCGCTGTTACCTCGTCGCATGTATGGTTGCCACTTTTTGCAAACTATGGGCTGTTAAAATGTTAGTTTGTACTGCAAAACGCCGGTTACTCTACAGAGTAAAATCCAATTGATAATTGGTTCAGGTGTTATTACGGTAATTATGGTAATGATTGATTACAAATTAGCAGCAATTCTAAGCACTATTCAAGAAGTAAGGAAAGAGGAATAAAGAGATTTAGGCGATATGGTGCCAAAGTAAGTAGCTGAGAAGTGCCGTCCACACCGGAGTACTTTTTCTAGAAAATATTATCGCCTTCATCGGGTAGTGTACAGGATATCCAATGAAGGCAGTAATACGAAATAAAACATAGGAAGTGAAATTAAATGCACTTCGGAGTAGGCAGCAAATTAAGCAATGGAAATCAATAAAGATGGAAAGCATAGGGCAAATAGATTGGTTTCCTTCTGTGGAAGTACAAGATAGGTGCAAGCTAGACTCGAATAAAAAATTGGAAAAGATTCTTTCTTCAATTAAAAATTCAACAATGATCGAGCATTCGGAGGGCTCAATTTTTGTGCTCCTTCAGGTGGTTTTTTTTTCCCGAGCGAAGCACGTCAGCGGTGTTGGCGTTGCAAGTTGAAGCGGAAGCGAAGAAGCTCGTATGCAATATTACACCTCGACAATGTACATAACACAAGACGTGTGTGCAAGAGAGACTCGGCAAGCAGACCAGAAAACGCGGAAAACGGAAGCCCGCCATTGACAAACGAAAACAGAGAAAGAACGGGGCGAAGCCGGTTTGGTAGCGGAGCTCGACGGAGCGCTTAAGGTGCTCTGGTGAGGAAATTGAGCCGACGACGATGTTGCAAACATGGCCTCTGAGCAACAGCCCGACGAACCTGCTGCGGCTCTCGGCTGCACCTCATCAGAGGGAAGCAGGGCAGCGGCGGATGTAATCGGAGCAATGGCATCTCGATCAAACGCACTCACACATTGTTTGACGTCCTCTGTCGACCGCCACTGGGGCGAAAATCGATCAGTTGAGGCGTATGAGGGTGGGAGCGAATTCGAGTTAGAGGGTTTTCGGAGGATCGCCATATCTCTGGGGACGATCCACGAATGGACTCAGCAATCATGTATGTGTAAGAACCCATTTCCCTGAAGACTCCATGACATGAATCAAATCGCTCTGACTAGTGCCGCCACAGACGATTTCTCTACTTTACAACTCATTTCTGACAAAATTTTCCGAGGACCTCGGACGAGCACTTCAGCTAAGAAAAAGCCTCCGTATGACGTCATCCGGGGACAGAAAACCTCAAAAACAAGCCAAAAATGAGATTATCCAATAGGTAAGCAATACTTAGCGGACATTCTTGACAACTGGGACTGAGCCTTAGGGAGGAGAAGGGTTCCTGTGGGAGAACGCCAGCAATTTGCGTTATCCCTGACGCTTCTCCCATCTACTAGGCTTAGTCTTTGTGTCACCTACCATCGCCTGTTTTGAGTGTCCCCCTAAGGAAATAAGCGCCCAAACCCTGACTAGCTATGCCTTCCACCCTTTCGGTTCGCTCAATTAATACTATGCTCGCTTGAAATCACTGTGACACGGGCTCCAACCACGAAATTTATTGTAAGAGCTATGGGCACATCCCAATTCTTCGCAACTCCTAAATGGATATCATATGCACGGCGCA